TCTCCACTATGACCTGTCCGTCTTGGGTGTCCCTACACGGCATAGCCCATAGCATCTCTGAATTACTCAAGCCTCTTTGCCACAACAAGGCAGCAATCCGTGAAGGGGGTTTATTTAGAAATGAATAAACATTAGGATAGAAATGCAAAAATACATTGAAAGAGAAACTAATTTTCACCATCAGGCATGGCTGAAACAGTTTTGTTCAGTGAGGTTTCTTTGTTTGATATATGTATAAGCCAGTAAAAAAGATGGACGGCCAACTTGGGTGGGTATCCAGATGTTCTTGGTGCTCAGCCAGGAAAGACCAGGAACTGCCACCCAGCACAAGATATGAGAGCTTCCTAGAATTGGTTCCCCTAAATCTTTTGAAACTTTTAGGGGTGCCTATGGCTGGTGCATATTGATTTCAGATCAGACAAATTAATGAGTAAAGGGTTTCCTGGATGTAAGATTTTCAAACCATTGTTCTAAATCTCTGTTGTGTGCCATCAAGTCACTTCTGATTTATGATGATTGTATGAAAGGGAGGTTTCCAGGATGTCCTGTCCTCAACAGCCCTAGTCAGGTCTTGTAAATTCAGTGCTGTGCAATCCATCTCACATTTGGGTTTCCTTTTTTCTTGCTGCCTTCAATTTTTGCCAGCATTATCATATTTTCCAAAGAATCTTGCCTTCTCATGATGTCCCCAAAGTAAGACAGCCTCAGTTTCAACAATTTTACATCCAGAAGTTGTTCAAGTTTTGTTTGCTCTAAGATCCACTTGTTTATCCATAGTTTCTCATGGTATACACAATGCAGGGACATTGCTGTAGTCTCTAAAACACAGATTGATCTCCTGAAATTCTTTGGTGTGCTCCAGTAGCTAGTGAACATTTGCAGTATGACATGGAGTGCCTCTTCCTTTTTGGAATCCAGCTTGAACATCAGGAATTTCTTGCTCCATATAAGCTAAGCCTTCGTTGCAATACCTTGAGCATCCCTTTGCTTGCATGGGAAATTAAAACAATGGTTCTCTAGCTACTGCAGTCCTAGCATTTCCTTTCTTGGGGACTGGAATGTATGTATATAGAATATTTCCAGTCTGTGCACCATTGCTTTGTTTTTCCATATCTGATACCATGTTCTTCCTAGGATTTTGACAGATTCCTTCTCTGTGGCTTGAAATAGTTTTATCGTTATCTACCCCTGCTGGTTTATTTCTTCACAGTGCTTTCAAAGCAGCTTTCACATCACTATCTAGAACTTCAGGTTCTTCATCATAGGATTTATCCACAAATGAGGCGTGTCATCCTTTTATCTTTTTTTTTTCGGTATGGGTCCTCAGTATACTGTTTTCACCTTTTTATTTTCTCCTAGTCAAATAGTGTCTTCCCTGTTGTTCATTCAATCTAGTATTAAATTCCTTTTTGATTTCTTGGATCTTCTGGAAGAGATCTCTTGGTCCTTCTCCCTCTCCTCCTCCTCCTTAGTTAGTTATCTTTGTCTCTATGTGGCAGTCTCTGAAACAACTGCATTCAGGGTTCTGACCCCATTTCTGTCATCTTTTCCTTTTTGCCTGTTCTTTACACTTTTTAGTGTTTCTTTTGTCATCCATCTACAAGAAATGTCTTTGTGCATTATTTGCTAATAATAGTTTCAATCCACTTTTTTGCTGGTTCAGGATCACTTGAGTTTAGTAATGCAAATCTGTTTCTTATATGGTCTTAACATTAATCAGGTATGCTGTTCAAATTCTGTTACATTGCTTGAAGCATGTGTTTGCAAAATAATAAATGGTTGGTTTTGCAGAACTCTATAAAAAATTCTCCTGTTTTGTTTCTGTCCCCTAGGCTAAATTTTCGAGCAATATTTATTTCTGCTTTGTTCCCTACTTTTGCATTTCAGTCACCTATTATTATAAGTGTATCTTGTTTTGATTCATGATTAATTTCCTCCTGGATGCTTGCATAAAAGCTTTCAATTTCATATTTTTTAGCATCTGTAATTGAAACATAGATTTGAATGATAATTTGTTGATAGGTTTTCCACAGAGTCCAAATAATATTATTCATCAGACCTTGCATTATAGTCCCTAACTGTCTTTGCTACATTGTGCCTCAGTCTTGGATCCATTCCACTTACTCTGAGTTTGTCATTTCCACTGCAGAACATTTTGTAGTTGTGTGACTGAAAAGATCCTATTCCAGCCTACTCTAATTTACTGACACCAAGAAATTTGTTCCATTTCTTGCTTTACAGTTTCCAGTTTACCTTGATTCATACTTTTTCACATTCCATGTTCCAATTGTATGTGTTGTACAGTATTGGACTTTCCTTTCACTTCTGTGCACATCAACTACCAGATGTCCTTATCTTGTTGTATCATTAGCAGAGTGCTATTTGTAGTTGTTCTTTGTTCTTTCACAGTAGCTGATTGAGTGCTCTCTGACCTAGAAGTCTCATTTTTCAGCACTGTTTCTTATTTCATTTTTTTTTTTTACTGATTCATCATAGTTATCATGGTAAGGAAAGTTCAGTAGTGTTTTACCATTGCCACTTTCTGTGCAGTACTAACAAAAGTTAGCTTGAGTGTCACCATCATTTTCACCTCCACCAGTGCCACTCTTAGTTAACACTGCTGCCCAGTAGCCTGCCACCCCCATCGCCACTGGAACTTTAAAAGGGTAGATACAGCTTGGCTCTAAATCTATAAGTTAGCTTAAAGATGTCTAATAGAAACAACTTTCTCATTACTTTCTACATGCAGTTGACTATTATGAGCGGTGCAAAAGAAGCTACGATGCAGATTACTTCAGAGACTGCTCAGCTTGCTGTCCAGAACCCCTTTGAAAGTCCAAGTGATTACAGTCATCTACAGGAACAGATTGTCTCAAGTCCAACAATTTTTAAATCCAGAAAATCCTCAATGGTAAGATTTGTGATTTGTCTCTTTGTAGAAATAGGGTGGGAGGAGGATTTTCTTTTATGAATTTGTTGAAAGAAATTATAAGTTAGTGTATACATTCTAACATAGGTTGCAAGCAAGATCAATACATTAAATGATGGGCATGTAAGATTTTTATTTTAAGAAAGTTGTTCCTGATTTAGATAAGCTTGAATCTAACTCTTCTCTAGAGCAGCTAAGCATATCTGTAGATAGTGCAGAAAAAGACGACAATATTAAAATGGAATTCTTACGGTACTATAGTTTTATCTAGTTGGTCTCCTCTAGTGAATGATTAACATTGGATTGGGGGAGATTAAGGGTGACCATGTATTTGTGATCAATGGCTCTGTGTGCTGAGGACAAAAATCTTCAGCAGGAACTTTTTGCGCATTTGGAGGCCAGGTTCTAAATAGTGCAGAGCACCTACGCTGATGCAGAAGGGGTTCATAAATTCTTCTGAATACAGTGGTGCCCCACATGACAACGATAATCCATTCCACGAAAATCGCTGTTAAGCGAAATCGTCGTAATGCGAAAAGCCTTTCCCCATTGGAACGCATTAAAACTCGTTTAATGCTTTCCAATGGGGAAATTATCTCATCGTCCAGCGAAGATCACCCATAGGGGGAAGCCATCTTCCGAGCACCGATTTCCTGTTAAAATGGCTGCCCTGCGAAGCATGGGTCCGGAAAAGACAGGGCAGCCATTTTGTGGAGCCAGAAAAATTGTCGTCTTGCAAACAAACGGTTCCCAAAGCACAGACCTAATTGACGTCCAGCAAGAATTTCCCCATAGGATCGCAAAAAAGTCATCCTGCGTTTTTGTTGTTTAGCAGACTCGTCGTCATGCTGGGCACCACTTTATGTGAAGAATCTTAGAGATTTCACACTTTACTTTTACTCTTTATGTGCTATTCCTTAAAGGCAGATGCCTGAATAGAGCTCACGTTTATTAGTTATTGTTTCTATTTTCCTGTTTCACAGTAAAAGTGTGTTTTGGTTAACAGTATGTTGAAACCCATTTTGGGTATTTATCATTTCCAGTTTGTTACATTTTATCTATACGAGCCATATCAAATTGCTGCTGCTGAATTTTGATTGATGAGGATATTCTTTCCATTGAATATTTTGGGCCTTGTTTTGCTACATCCAACATCTATCAAACAGACTTGCTCTGCCCATTTCCTCACTTTTGCACTTTCTTGACCTCTGTCTTGAGGTTGATGGCAGCTGACGCAGCCTGACCTAAGCCAACAGAATGCCCCCCCCAGATCAGACCCCCGCATATACCTCTTGTGAGATGTACACAACCCACATCAGTTTGCTCTTCCACTTTTAAGGCACTGAGGGGGAAAAATTAAAACAATGTTGTATCCCTAAGCATAAAAGTTAAATAGGAGGTAAATTGCTAGAGAAACCAACCCCACATTTCCTAGACCAGGATGGAGATTAGAGAATGGTACCTGAGCCAAATGTTCATCTCAAAAACACACCTAACCTTTTCTGCATCGTCCTTAGAAGGAAAGATCAGTAGCGCTGAGCCAGAACTCTTACTGATCCTCCTTGCAAGATTTACCTCCAGCCAGCCTCAAAGGAGGTCCCCTGAAAGGGAATCTGATAGACCAGCCCTATTAGATATTTGTATCTATGGTTTTCTTCAGGAAGATTATATGTCACTGTGGTGTTATCTTCTTCCTATAGACTCCAGGAAAATTTAGATGGTCTATAGATGAACTTGCTTCAATAAATCCTGTGGAAATAGACTCCGAAGACATACGCCGCCAAGCATTGTATTTAAGCCAAGCCAGGTCAGCTGATTTCTCTTGTATGCAGGCAATGAGATTTGATTTGTTTTCAAGTTCCCGTGCCTTGCACAGTCCTAACAAGTGCAACCACTTGCCTGTCCAAATCCTTCTGTTCTTCTGTGTCACAAAGTATCTTTTGTTTGCCACAGTGAACTGACAGCCCTGTTTCTTTTGGTGTTTTGTTCCCATTTTATAGAGTCGATAAAGAGATGGAAGAAAAAAGACAAAAAGCCATTGAAGAGGTAACTATTAATATGGTGGCCTTTCAGACTAGAAGATTAATGTTGCATAAGGTATATTGCATCTTGTATTCAGAGGTATGTGGCACCAAAGGAGTTTCGTTTGTTCAGCAACTCAAGTCTGGGCTACTGAAGCAGCTCATTGCATAGTAAACCAGCCCCAGAAATGTATGACCTGTTTGTGTTTGTTCAGTGGTGCATGTGTATATAGAAACACTTCGTTTTTAAAACAACACAACACACACACACACACACACACACAAACCCTTCACTTCTCTTGAGAAGCCTGCCTTGGTGGTGGAACAGTACTTTTAGCCTAGATTTGCCCCTGACACGCTTGTTTCCAGTAAATAGGATTTATGGGGCTGCTTTTTCCCTGCTTCCAGGAGCTTCCATAATACCATCCCCTCCCCACTGTTTAAAGTTGTACAGTCTAAAAAGAGCTTTGCCACGTGGTGAATTCTTTATCCAGATAAAGGGTGGGATAAACTTTGACCCTGCAGATGTTGAAAGTACAACTGCCATTGGCTCTGCCAGTATGGTGTGGATTTGAGTGACAGGAGAATGAAGTGCATCAAGATTGAGAGAGTTGTGGTTTTGATTGATTAGTGTTTAAGATAAGGTATATTGATGACTGTGCCATTGAATAGTGTGTAAAAAGGTAAAGGTTCCCCTTGACAATTTTTGTCCAGTCGTGTTCTACTCTCATTTGCGGTGCTCATCCCCATTTCCAAGCCATAGAGCCGTTGTTTTGTCCAAAGACAATCTTCCGTGGTCACATGGCCAGTGCGACTTAGACACGGAATGCTTTTACCTTCCCACCGAGGTGGTCCCTATTTATCTACTTGCATTTGCATGCTTTCAAACCGCTAGGTTGGCGGGAGGTGGGACAAGCGACGGGCACTCACTCCGTCACGTGGATTCGATCTTACGACTGCTTGGTCTTCTGACCCTGCAGCACAGGCTTCTGCGGTTTAGCCCACAGCGCCACCACGTCCCTGAATAGTGTGTACATTTTAGCAAATAGGAAGGCTCTATCAAGTCTTTATCGCTGCTCTAGTACTGGAGGCGGTGGTCTGGGATCTTCTACCTGTGTCCCCAGCTGATGCAGGAATGAGATGATGGGGTGGAGTTGATGTTGCTTTTTAAGTTGGTTGTTAACCTACAATGGATACAGTATTATGGTGCATAAATATCTCAACATTCCTTTCAGTTCTTCACCAAAAGTGTCATTGTGCCATCTCCTTGGACTGATCACAGTGGGAAGCAGGCTTCTCAGTTTCATTCAACACGATGTACGTACTGACTCTTGTATCTAAACTAGAAAGGTTCAGATGTCCAGTGCAAGCCCCTTTGGCCTGCATATTTTGAGTTATCGATCTTCATATTTAAATGCAGTGGCCATAATCTTCTTTACGAATACTGCCTTTACTACATTGTGCCTCAGTCTTAGAGGTGGTTGGCATTTCTTTCTTTAGACTCCGGATTGCAGTTATGTCCCATTCAACACAACAGGGTTTTGTGCTTGCACAAAAGGTTGGTCTGTTCACTTTTGTGCAAGCTGCAGGGAAAGAGGAAGTGCACACAGCACCGACAATTCCATACTTATTTAGGAACATTTCTTTTTCACAGTGTCTTGTTTTAGACATTTTTATGTTTCTTGCTTCCACTCCTATCTGTTTAACTTTATTACTTTCAGTAACTATTCCAACTTAACCAGGAAAATTATGAACCAATGTGAAATGTGTGTGTCCATCCATGTACACATACAAAAGTGTTTGTATAAGTGTTATTTCAGTTTTTAAATGAAAACTTAATATCTTGCAGGTATTGATATAAATAGTGCTTCACCGATTGGCAGAGAAATAGTTGTGGATCCTGGGAAAAATAATGGTCTGTATGATAACAATCTGGGAATGGACAATGTATCTGCTGGAATAAGTTTTGCTATTGCAGGCTAAGAAAATACTTTTCAAATAACTGCCTCTGTGCTAATCTGAAATATGTATATTTCATGCTCTGGAACTGAAGGATTAATAATTATTTGTGAGTTCCTACAGAACTGGGGAATTTTAAGAAGATCCTAATCCTGCAAATTATATTTATCATAATTTATTTATGCTTGTTCTTGTCCTGGGGTGGAAAAGGGAGATGGGAGATGGTAGGAATGGGAGAAATAGATGGGCTGTCATAAGTTTGCTCTGCATCCATTACTCTGGATATCTTTGAACAGGTTATTTCCCCCCCCCCATTTCTGCAAAAGTTACTTTTGCACAAAAATATGCACAAAAATGAGGGGGAGATAAATTTAACCCTAGAGGAGCCCAGTGGAGCATTCAATACTGTGTGTCTCTTCTGTTCTACAATTTTAGAATGTTTAGTTATATTATGCAGGCTTCACTTCTTTAAGGCATAGTAAACCAGTGCCGTCTGGATTATGTAGCAGGAATTAAACGTTTGCATGCAGCTGCTCATAATGCCAAGGAAGATTTTTTTAAGAAGCTAATTTTTGGTTTTTATAGCATGGGAGGTGGCTAAGAAATATTTCTGTTCAGGTTTTGTAACAATACCCAGTCAATATAAGCTTCCTACAGGCTGTGTATGGACACCATAATAAATTATGGCTTATTTTGATGTGAATGAGACAAGGTAAGTCCAAGGCATGTGCGCTTCCCTGTCTCTGTTCCTTCAATGCAGTTGTGAGGAGAAGATTAGAAGCTTTTGTGAGTTTGTTTGAAACAAGTTAATTTTAGGCTGTGAGTTGTGAAGCTGGATTGCTTCAATAGCCGATTAAACACAGTTTAAGGGTTGGATGATATGCTAAACTGTGGTTAATCAGAAATGAAAGTGAATGCTTCCCATCTCCTTATATCCCTGGTGGAGGAAAAAAGGGGGCAGCACGTGAATCCAAGGCTTATCTAGGTCTGTTCCCACCATGATAAACCATGGTTTATCATATTGTCCAAACACAAGAGTCTTAAAGCAGACCATAGTGGTTTCATACAGCCTTCACTCACCCACCCACCCACACATATTAATCTTAGTCATATTGTCCTAAATTTCTGTTTGCTTTCTTTCCAGCTGCTTGCCAGACTTTATTATCTCTGCCTGTAGATTTTGACGTGGAAAAAATACTAGGTATGTCACTTGAAAAAATGAATGTCTGTGCTACAGAGCATCTGTGAAGAAATAGCTATGGCGGGAACTGAGTTTCATATAAATGTTGATAGAACTGATTGATGACAGTACTTACCACTGGCATACAATATGTAATTTAGAATGTTCCATAAAATACTTCATTTACATAATCTTTGACTGTTACATCAATCTTACACAGTAGGCTACTAGTATTATCCTTGTGGTACATATAAGGTCCAGACGCTGAGAAATTGCCTAAACTCATATAATAAGTTTCTGACCAAAACAAGATTTCAACCAGGGGCTGCTGGCTTTTAACCTTTTTTCTGCACTACAGTGGTGCCCCGCATAACGAGCGCTTCGTTTAACGATGAATCCGCATAGCGATTGAGTTTTTGCGATCGCAAAAGTGATTGCATAATGTTTTAAATGGGAAAGAATCGTTTTGCGATGAACGGTAAGCTGTTTCGCTTACTGATTATCGCATAACAATGTTTTTCCAACAGCTGATCGGTGGTTCCAAAATGGCTGCCGGGTAAAGAAAATGGCCGCCCACTGTGTTTTCGCACCCTTTCCTCACTTACTGGGCAGCGAAAATGGCGGCCGTATGGAGGATTTTCACATAACAGTGAGTTTTTTGCCCATCGGAACACATTAAACATGTTTTAATGCATTCCTATGGGCTTTTTTGTTCCGCATAGTGACGAATCCGTATAGCAACAATTTTTTTCGGAACGGATTATCATCGCTATGTGGGGCACCACTGTATATAGATTCTTGTCCGTCTATATCACTGGTTCCCAAACTTGGGTCCCCAGATGTTCTTAGACTACAACTCCCAGAAATCCTGACCAGCACTGCTAGTGGTGAAGACTTTTTAGTTCAAGAACATCTGAGGACCTAAAATTGGGAACCACTGGTCTATACCAATCTTGTCCAAGCTGGTTCCTTTCAGATTTATTGGACTACTGTCCCCATGTTCTGTCACCATTGGCCATGCTGGCTGAAACTAGTGGGAGTTGCAGTGCAAAACAGCTGCTTGAAGACTCCCTGTGTATCTAGTGACAAAGCATGGCCTAACCTGGAAGGAAAGGTGAGGCTGTGTCATGGCTGCAGTCCCACTCACAGGTATCAGAAAAACAGTTGACATTAATGGGAATTCAACCACCTGAGCTGCTGCACAAGGTTGCAGTAGAAGTATCTGCTGAAAAGGACTGTGCTAAAACAGTTGCTACAATACTATATTGTCACATTTGTGGTTTGTATATTTATCTACAACTTGCTATATATATTTATTTTTGTTATTATTAATGTTAATAACGTAACTTGTATCATCATAGAAACATTTCTTTCACTTCACTTATTATGCCTATTGTCACTCAGGTGAATATTTTAAAGTGGATGAATTGGCTGACCAGTCTCAGGAAAGCCTGAGCACTTCCTCCCTGAGAAGGAAGCTTTTCTTAGATGAGAATGGAAGCCTCTCCTCTGAGAACTTATCTGCTTCTCCTCAAAGTCCGTGCAATGCTCCTTCCTCCCTGGGGGTACTGTGTTCAATAGACATCTCGCCAGTTCGTTGCAGAAGCCCCCTAAACACACCAAGCTCGGTAAGGAGTTGGCTTGAGGCACTTTGAAGGGCATCCTCCCTCATGGTAACAGCTTGCCTTTGAAATGTGTATCTACTTGTCCAAGCAGTGGCTGGCTCGGTCTTGCATTTGTTGGACTCAGCGAGGAAAGCAATCAGTTTCTAGATTTTGCCTGTGGCCCTCTAGATGGTGTTGAACAACACCTCTCACCATCGGTTGTGCTAATGGCTGATGGGAGTGGCAGTCAGTGGAAATCAGTGGAATTGATGCCAGTTGTTACAAACACAACCTTAATGCTGTTAAAAGTAGTCTGCAACTACTACTGATGATAGTTCTGTTAGTCATTGCAGGTCCAGTGTGTAATGAACAGCTGGGTACTGTTTTAATGAAATATACTACTAAATCCCTTAGTGCATGTATGGGGAGCTTGTTGCTCTCTAGATGATATTGGACTACAAGTCCCATAATCTCTGACCTCACTGGCTTGGACTCATGGGAGCTCTAATGCATCTAGGCCACAGGTTCCCCAGCCCTACCTTAATGAGAAGCAACAGATTGAATTTAACTGCACCTTTGAACAATGACGATAAAACTTTGCCAACAGATTAATTTAGCAGATCACTGAAAAGAAGACTACTCGTGGTGTTTTTCTTTCCAAGTTAAGAGCCAATAAATGGTGGCAGTGTGGATATCACTCTGTGTTTCTCACTAGCGTTGGAACTAGATACTTTATTGAAGTTGTTTCTTGGAGGCAGTTACATCACAGGAAAAGGACAGGAGTTGTATTAGGTACACACCAAAGAGCAACAGAAGGAACAGCTTGGTCTTCAATGGAATTTCTTATTTGTTTCTCCAAGACACTGGACATTTCTCACTTTTTGTGTCCATAAGACCACATATTTCCTTTTTTTTTCTTTTTTCTTTTTTGCTTGTGCCCTGCTATCTCACTGTATGTTGGAAACAGTGGCATTGGCTACCATCCTTTTCCTTGAGCAAGGTTGGCCTTGGCCCAAGCCCCTGAGGGTTGAGCTTCCTTGAAGAAGAACATCACAAGGAGAAATTGAGCCTATCAGCATCAAGCCTATAGCATAGAAAGACCCACATGTTTAGGAAGATTAGTACCTTTGTGTTTTGTTAAATGCTGCCATGTGCTTAGCTTTTTCATTCAAGTTATCTTTATATTTAACTTATGAAGTGAAATGGTGTTATTTCTATGCTTCCTTTCTGAAACTTCAGGTTATGTGTAAGCGGCAGTTAGAGATCTGATTTAAACCTAGGAATAGTACTAAATTGTGAACTTTAGATTAAATCCATTGTCAAATCCAGTTGTAGCGGACACATTCAATCAATGGGTCTTCAGCCACCATGTAAGTCCCATCAATTCAATGTGTCTGCTAAAGTTGAGATGAAGAGGTGAATTTAAGCTAATTTTATTCACTTACGTAAACTTAGATGTGTCATAGGTGTGCCACTGTTTAACCTTACTTGTAAAAATTCTCATTTGTTGAAAGGGCCAATTGTCCTCCAGCCCTATTCAAGGAGGGACACGAACCTACAGTCTGGGCAGCTTATCAAGTCCTTCTTTTCCAGAGAGAAATCCTGCAAATATTGCCTCTCCTACTTTCTCTCCAATAGGCTTTCAAATAAGGAAGTCGCCACTGTCGGGTATGTTTTTACTTGTTATGCTATTTAGTTTTTTGACTCAGAGCTGCTGAGCCATGATTTACTTACCAAGGGATGGATTCTTCTTCTTGGCAGTTAGAAAGCACCTCCCATTTTGCGAGGGTGGGGGTTGGTGGAGGCTATATCTGATTGCGTAAGAAGCTTGAAATCTGATAATTGAAGAAGCTTGAAATCAGAAGTAAGGGTTGTCTTATGTTTTACAAGCCAAAATGTTTGACTCAGGTTTTTGCAGTCTAAAGAAGTACTGTATGTGGATTTGCTACTTCTTTGAAGTACAGATGTAAAGAGTGGGTAATTCTGAAAAGCACACATCTTTTTCTAGGGGATGGGTCCCATTTCCCCACCCCTGACTTTTCCTTCTCTGCTTCGGGTTAATTTGACTCACTCTGTGTTTGTGTTTTCTTTCTTTTTTCCCAAATGCAGAACAAAGACCATTTATTTTTCGGTCTCCAGAGATCCCTTCTGTTTCAAATGCCTGCCGACCAGTTCCAGCTGGTGCCAGGAGTTCTTACACTGATTGTTCTCCTTTAAAAACTGGTTCGCCCATGAAAATTGTGGCCTGCCGAGGAGCCACCCTGTATCAGACCTCTTTCATTCGCTTACCTTCTACACCTGAAAGTTCCAAAGAAGAACAGGAAGAGGAAGCGACTGCTTTGTCTGCAGACGTTCCCTCGCAGAAAGTCAATCTGCACCAACTGAATGGGGAGGCTTTTGCACATGGCACCCATTTGGTGGTTGCCCGTGTGTCCATTTCACCAGATCTCTCTGAAGGCAACCAGCAAGGGCGGATGTTGATCCATGAGCTTGGTAGTTTCAAGGAAAACCATACGGTGGATATGGTTGATTCCGAAGCGATGTTGGATGAGAACTCAGTAAAGGGTTCTGCTGGAGATAGTGGCATGGCAGTGGCTGGCTTTAACCTTGAAGGTTCTTGCATCTGCATGTCTCCTCTAGCCGAAAGCAGTGCAAGTCCCTGTGAAAGCAGCAGCCTTCAGGTAAGGTTGGTGGCTCCATATTTCATGCCTTGCTTCAAGCCTTGTAACAGAAGTAGTTTGCCTGATTTGGTTGAGGTGTTTTGGCTCAGAATTCTCACCTTTCATCTGATTTATAGAAATGTATAATATCTGCTCTTGTGTACTATTTTTGGAGGGCTGGAGCATGCCTCCTGTGCAAAGAGGGAAGGAGTTGGGGAAATTTCTTTTTGCTATTCTTGTTTCCTATGCCTAATACTGAATTCAAATCCATGATAATGTGGCAAAGCCCCCCTCGTAACTGAGGAACCACTTCAGGTCTTCCCTATGGCTATTTCCCATGATGAACCTACAGGGAAACCCTGTGTCCAGAGGAAATATATTCCTCTGAAAACTCCAGATGGAACAGGCTTTACTTCCATGCTCTGCTCCTGAACTTTTTGGAAGCATTGGACTGGAAGTTTTTTGGAAATATAGTGGTGAGTTCCATGGGGCAAAGAAATATTTCCTTTCCTTTGAGAGTAGTTACAATTCAATTATTTTTAATATACTGTATCTTGTTGAATATTATATAGTGGTGCCTTGCAAGACGAATTTGTTCCACAAGTAGCATTGTCTTGCAAAAAATTCATCTTGCAAAATGTGGTTTCCCATAGGAATGCATTGAAATCTAATTAAGGCGTTCCTGTGGGCAAAAAAGGTCAGAACAAAGTCAAATTTGGTTTACAAAGGGTTTATTAAGTGCTATTTAAAGGCATAAATACTGTACCGATAATTTCAAAAATTTCAGTCAAAAAACTAACTTTTTAAGTATCATAGAAAAACATTTAAAAATCAGCAAACATGAGGCAGGAACATCTGCCTTCACTGAAACTGAACAGAAACAGTCACTAACAGTTCTTGGGTTGTGCAAAACTCTTCAGAAAGTGCTTTTTCAAGGCATGTAAACATACAGAACCCAACAGTACAGAAACTTTTTACATTTCACATTTTAAAGTGAATAAGTGAGGCTGAAATCTCTAAACCATCAGGACCAGTGTTTTAAGTCAGGAAACTGGAGGCAGACAGAATTGTCTCCACATCACAGCAGCAGTCTTTTACTTTCCCAGAGCTGCAGAGGGTCTCTCTGGTGATGGCCCGAACGATGGTCAACTGGGAGAAGGCTTTAAGCCTTGACCACAAGGCTTCTAGGAGGACGAGGAGGAGGAAGGCAACTGGGCACCACTGGTAGAAGCAGCAGGTTCCTCTTCCTGTCTCGGCCACTTCGTAATGAACCTCTCCATGGTCAGCTCCTTCTGCTGCCTTTTCAGCATCCTTCTGAAAGGTTCCTCCTCCTGTCTCGGCCACTTCGTAACGAACCTCTCCATGGTCAGCTCCTTCTGCCGCCTTTTCAGCATCCTTCTGAAAGGGGACATGACCCTTGCGTCAAACATGTTGGCAAGGTCATGTGCCAGAGCCCAGTCTGCATGTTTTGCCATTAAACTGAAGAACTCCTTCAGTTTAGTGGTGGGCAGCTGTTCCTCCCCTGGCTCTCCTGTCTCGGCCACTTCGTAACGAACCTCTCCATGGTCAGCTCCTTCTGCCGCCTTTTCAGCATCCTTCTGAAAGGGGACATGACCCTTGCGTCAAACATGTTGGCAAGGTCATGTGCCAGAGCCCAGTCTGCATGTTTTGCCATTAAACTGAAGAACTCCTTCAGTTTAGTGGTGGGCAGCTGTTCCTCCCCTGGCTCTTCTTCCTCTTCCAAAGAGGCCTGCTCCTCCATAGCCTCTGCCTGCAGTTCGACCAGCTCTTGGGTGGACAGCTCCCGGTCGTGGCCCTCCCTCCACCAGTTCACAGATGTCCTCCTCTATGACCTCGCGTCCCATGTTCCTCCCCAAGGCCACAATGTCCCACATCACTGTTGACACTGGTGCAGGTGCAGAAACATCAGAGTCACTTGTTGCTACATAGTCTGGCCACAGGTTGCACCAAGCAGAATTAAGATTTCTCCGGATGATCCTGTCCTAGGCTATGGTGATCAACTTCAAGCAGGTGACAATGTCAAAGTGGTCCCTCCAGTAATCATGCAGGGTGGGATTGGTGGAATCGGGCACCTCGAAGCAGCGCCTGAAAAGCTCCTTGGTGTACAGTTTCTTGAAGTTCGTAATCACCTGCTGATCCATTTGGTGTACCGGGTGGAGTTAGGTGGCAGGAACATGATTTTAATGAACTTGAACTCCTCTAACAAGTCTTCTTCAAGGCCTGGAGGATGAGCAGGAGCGCTGTCCTTTAGGAACAGGGCTTTCAGCGGCAGGTCATTGTTCAGCAGGTACTGCTTGACAGCAGGGCCAAAAGCAAGATTGACCCAGTCCACAAACAGGACGCGTGTGACCCAAGCCCTAGCGGATCACCACAACACACCCAGTTGGCCTTTGTTGACCTTGTGCTTCTTGAAAGCCTGTGGGTTCTCCAAGTGGTACACTAGCAAGGGCTTTATCTTCATGGTTGTTGTGGGTTTTTCGGGCTCTTTGGCCGCGTTCTGAAGGTTGTTCTTCCTAACGTTTCGCCAGTTTCTGTGGCCGGCATCTTCAGAGGATAGCACTCTGTGCTCTCGTCCCCGCTGGTTTTGGCACAGAATAGGAGGGTCAGACGGTCCTTCATGGGCTTGTGGCCAGGCAGCTTGCTCTCCTCTTGAGTGAGGAAGGTCCTTTTGGGCATCCTCTTCGAAAACAGCCCAGTCTCGTCGCAGTTGAAGACCTGCTGTAGAAGGTAGCCCTGTGTTGTCATGATCTCCAGGAACTCCGTGGCAAAGTCCTTAGCCACAGGAACATTGGAACTGGCAACCTCTCCATGCCTGACCATGCTGTGGATTCCAGATCTGGTTTTGAAGCATTCAAACCAGCCTCTGCTTGCTTTGAAATCTTCTGACTTGGTTGAGGTTCCTGGCTGTTGCTGCACAAGGTCTGCATAGAAGGCCTTGGCCTTCTCACAAATGACAGCCTCAGTCACTGTGTCCCCTGCACGCTGCTTCTCTTGTATCCAGATGAGCAGCAGCTTCTCCACCTCTTCCAGAACAGCTGGAGGGTTCTTCACGATCCTGGTTACTCCCTTGGTTACATCTGTTGCAAGGATCTTCTCCCTCATCTTAAGGATAGTACTGATGGTGGATGGATTCCTCCGGTACTCCCTGGCGAGGTCTATCACTTGCATGCCTCCGTCGTGCTTCCTGATGGTCTCCTTCTTCATCTCTAGAGTATTCTTCTCCTTTGTCATCTTCCCAACCTCTGCAGAAGCAAGCTTCTTGGGAGCCATGTCAGCACAGTTGCTACGTTCACAAAAATAAAAGGCAGTGCTTCACACACACCTTCCCACCCCTGGCCAAAACTGCCCTGGACAAACAAGTGGCATTACACCCCCCCCCAGCTAAGCCTGCTACCTTTCCTGTGCAACTTACAAAAAAATCTTTAATTGGCATAACACACACCCCCAGCACAAGCTAAGCGTTTCCTGTGCATCACATCTGCTTCACACACACCTTCCCATATACCTTCCTACCCCTGGCCAAAACTCCCTGGACAAATAAGTGGCATAACACCCCCCAAGCACAAGCTAACCTTTCCTGTGCAACTTACCAAAAAAAATGGCATAACACCCCCATAGCACAAGCTAAGCCCCCTACCTTTCCTGTGCAACTTACAAAAAAAAAATTAAATTGGCATAGCAACCCCCCCCAACACAGGAGAACAAATGCACACCCTACCTTTTGCTGGCCAAAAAGTTCTGAAAACCTTCATTTTCTCCAAAGACCACACCAACTTCTCCAAAGACAGGATGCCACCACATCAAACACAGGATGTGCCCACAACACAGACCACAGTTGCTCCTCTCAAAGTCAACCTTGGAACTGCGTGTGGATAAGTGAACCCAGGCTGCATTGGGGAGGCTTCTTAAACCTCACGGCACAATGCAAAATGCATCCTGGGTATTAACAACTGATATTTGAACAACAACAACAAAAAACCTGAAAATACTAGTCTTGTGAAAATCGTCCATAGAAACTTTCATCTTGCGAGGCATCACTGTATATACAGTATCTTTGTGTGTTCGCTTCAAGCTTTTCTTGAGATAGTGAGGTGAGGGCTCATTTGCTAATCACCATATTTTAGTGACTAGCAAATGACTTCATAAAATAGTCTTGTATCCAGATTAAATAGCAAGCAACTCCTGCTCAGGGAATCATCTGTCTAAAACAGATGGCAAACAAGGAAATGGGAAGGGGAACAAGCAAACTTAGGGATCAGTACGTACTTTATGTAGTAAGGCTAACTTCGGGAAAAGCGGGACAAAACAGCAGAAGGTCTTGCAGCTAAAACTATGTGGTGCATCCTGCTATTCCTTCTTTCCCTTTGCCACAACGACAATATTTGTCTAAAAGCTGGATCTGGTCTGAAAACACATTGGTTACCATAGAAACAAAACATGTAGCTGTGCCTTTTGTCAGTGTTTCTCTGATTTTTGTTTGTTTCACTGAATGCGAGGGAAAGGAGAGGAGACTCATTTCTCTTTGGTCTGGAACACATCATGTTTTTGCTACAGCTCATGTCATTGGGGCAAAAACAAGTTTTTCCTCTCTTGAATTTTTCATTCATGATCTTGTTTTGGGCCACAGGTGTCTATGTTGTCTTTGGCCATCCAAAGAGGGAAAGGGATTTTTATTGTCTTGCATTTGATTTGTATCATTATTTGTTTTATAATAAAGTACTATAGTTTTATGGTAAGTACTATATTATATTTTGCTGGGTTGCTTGACTGTCTGCTACGGTTTCTCCCGCTACTTGTAGCTAGTTGGGGGGTCTGCTGCTTTTTTGCCTCCTGCATAACCTGTAGCAGCTTTTCTCATACTCCATCCTATCTTTTTGCTAGGTTGATAGTGGTTACAACACCCAAACTTGTATCAGTAGCCTTATGGACACTGCTGGAGCTGAGACCAGTTGCAAAGAAAATGATTCACACCATCATGAGCCTCAGAGCAAATTCCATGTTTTTAAAGCAAAGGTAAGATTGTTAAGGGCATGTGCAAAATCATAGTTTGAGCAGTATTGAGCTTTAATAGCTGCCAACATGTACGTAGGGCCTCTCTCTGAGGTGAATTGTATGTCAGAGAGGAGGCTAGCAGTCAAATCCTAATGTATCAGCTCAAAAGTTAGTATAATTAAGTGTAATTATAATCTTAAGAGTAAACTTAGTACTGCTGCAGTCCTCTGTTGTTTTCCTTCCCTGTATTTACTTTGTGGAATCAAAGAAAACTAAAGTGCACGGAGAACAAGAGTGGGGGAAAGAAACAGGAAATAAAATCAAACATATTGTAAGCTGTCTTCAGGATTCATTGAGAAAAAAGCAGGGGATAAGGCTTTCTTTTAAAAGCACATTTGAATAAAAATGATTTTCTATGGTTAATAGGCTAATAAAATTCTCAGGTGGCGATTGTTGCATTCTTGTTTGAGTTCTATTTTCTTAATTTGACTGTTGATGTACATTTATGAATTCACTGTCCTCTTCTTTCCTACCCAATTGTAACCTGTTAATAAACACTTTTGAGTTTAAGTGAGGACTGTCTCCAGAAGCTCATTTTAAAAGGGGGTGGGTTTCAGACAGGGAGAGTAAACCCACTCACAATTATAGTACAGTGTCTCTCAGAAAGAATTTCAGTTTGCCCTGTGGACTACCTGCTGACAGCCAGAGCAAGTCACTTCTGTTGTGCTGCTTCTTGGTTTCCTCAAAAGATGATATGGGGCATTGTTTGTCCAAATCAAACCACACTTGTTGTGACATGTTTGTCTATATGCAAAAATATTTGAAATTTGAGGACATTGTTTATAGTTTGCAAGTGACAATGCTCTTTACTACAAGTCTGTGTATGTTCTGCAAGACAAAATTGACATTGAGGGTCTACAGTGTCCCATTGTACCGTGTGTGGGTTGATAACAATGAAAAACTATTGATTGAATTCTGATAATTTGGTCCAATTCCATTTCAAGAAATAGGTCCCTCCTTGTTTCAGGCATGAAAAGGGGGCTATTTGGTTACAAGCAGTTTCCCAGAAATTGATCTGATACACTTAGTGAAAAGGATTGCTTGAGTTTTACAAACAGCAAATCAATTTTCTTTAATAATTACATGCAATTTTGAGTTGTGTTTGTTTCTCTTTTTTAAGCCTGGAAAAAGCATTCCTAGACAATGGACTGAAAATGACCCCAGCAGCCATCTTCTCGAGATGCCTTTGACCAAATGATACAACTGTGCCATGCTTATGCTATTGTATGAATGTATGGATATATTTCTCAGCGTTCTTGAGAAACATATGAAGGCTGACACAACTGTTTTCCATTATCAGAAGAATCACTGTTAAGTAAATAGCCTGTGGAAACAACTCACCTGAGAAGTTTACTAAAAGACTAAATAGTAGTATGCAATAGCAGTTCTGCCAGTAATTAGGGAGCATGCAGAGCTGCCAAAAGACATGATCCCTGATAGCTCTCACATAGAAATGCTGCTGCCATACAGCTTGCACAAACAACTACCCTTCTAGTGCATTTTTGGGCATGACAAGTTTACAAAACTGTGCAATGACACATAAACAGAACTCAGCGCAGCAATCTGCTCAATGTATTTTCCATGAAAATAAGTTCTACTTGTAGACAAACAACAAATGCGTATTTCCAATATCTGGATAGAAGATTATGCAAAGGATACAGTGCACTGTGATTTTAATGTAATTTTGCTTTTTTATAAAAAACAATTTTATTACATATACAGAAATATGAACTTTCTTAGGACCTCCTGTTTACAACTTACACAACTGTGAACAGTATCATACACCACTGAGCACATATTGTAAAATAATCCTTTACATATTTTGATCACAAATTATATTTTTTAAAAATATTGGAATGACTGTAGATCAATAAAATAAAGACTTCTCACATCTAGGCTGAAAGTTGTTCATATTATGATTCATTAAGAGATTATCATAGATAATGGTGAGACAATGGTTTAGAAATTTATTTATTTATTTAACTTATATGCCGCCCACACTACCCGAAGGTCTCTTAAGGTTACTTAAGTCTTCTGAAGATTTCAGGTAAGTTGGTTCTTGATGCTTTTAAAGCACAAAGGCTGTGGGCAGATCTTTTTATTGGCCATTCAGCATGGCTCCATTCCTTCATTTCAACTGATACTCTTATTGGGTAAAAGTAACAAAAAATACCCCATTGGTAAATAAATAGTTCTAGACTGAGAGAAGGGAATCCAATAATTTCTAACTGCATACCTAGGGACAACAAATAATCTACTACTTAATTGGAGATGGCAACAGAACTTAAATAGTACATGTTTTTCCTCTGTAGGACCTTGAGCAACACCTCTCAGAATCCCCTAGCAGCATGAGACTATGGAAATTATAGGCCATGTCATTGAGGGGGCAACATGCCAACATTATTTAGATACTATCACTAAGAACATGCTCTATTTCAGTTCTATCTGGGATTTTAGTTTATTCCAGTGTCATTTATTAAAAGCTCTTTTTCAAGATTTACAATGGCATGATTAAACCTACTATCCAAAATATAACAGACTCAATACAGCACCATAACCAAGGTTACTTTGGAAAAAGCACAGCAAGAACGTTAGGGTCTGTGTATTCATGGACATGTATTTTACGTACTAGTTACCCATTAATTTCTGGGCACAATTCAAAGTGTTGGTGACAACTAAGGATTTAAATAACATAATACAGAAATAATTGGATAAGAGCTTCTAGTCATCTAAAGACTTTTGCACTGCAGTGAGAGGAAGTGGTGTGCCTTCAGACAGGTGAGTCCTGTGCTGTTTATGGCTTTAAAACCAAGCACCATCTCTCAGAAGCAAATACTGTAGATGGATAGTGCAACTCCTTCAGAGCATGGAATACAATTCTCCCAACTACACCGAGACTTGCAAATGATTGCAGCCCTACATACAACACATTATGACAGGGTAAATTGTCACTTCAAGTTCTGAAAAAATGAAGGAAAAAAACATTTTGACAGGTTCAGACTGCAGCAGAAAGTTAGCCCCTGGTATCTCGGAGTTCACCCACTCCTGTATTACAGTAATTCAGCTCAGCAATACTGAAGTCCAAAATGACTGATCCTAAAACTTATCTCCTAGTCAAATCTGTTATGTGCCATCAAGTAAGAACCAACTTCGAGCAATCCTAACAGTTTTTAAGGAATGTGAAGTATGTATTTAAAGAGTGGTTTTACCAATTCCACCCCCCCAGTGAGTTTCCATGGCAGAGCTGGAAAATCACACCCAGGTCTCCTGAGTCCTGGTCCATTACTCTGTTCACTACCTTATATTGGGCACCAAGTCAAAATAAGGTTCTTTGAATTTATTGCCATTACCTTTTGAATACATTTCTAGTGTGTTATCACTGTAAAAAACAAATACATTCCAGATTTTGTTGTTCTCACCCAGCTTCCTCTGTGATATAGTTCTATGTAGAGAAAGTATTATACTTTTACTGCTTCATGTATGATTTGAGCTGTCCATTTGTAAGCCAAAGAATAAAACCTGCAACTGACCTTGTCCAATCACCACTTCTTGATTATTAGAGCTTATTCAATCATTACTAGCAGCCTGAACACCCACCAATCATTTAAATGCTCTATCAGTGCACATCAATAAAATGTATATTATAAATATAACACAAAACATAAACCTAATATTTTTAATTGATGATCCCAACATGGGGACTTGTTCTTTTCAAGAAAAAGTAAATCTGCTATGCTCTCTATTCCATCACAAAACTGGATGATCTTCCTTCTTCAAAGGTAAGAAGGAAGCAATATCAGACTTGAAAGACAAGGCTACAATTGCTGCCTATTGGAAACTTTTGGGGAGAGAAGTGGAATGAAATTATGAAGAGAACAGAGCAGCCAGAATGAAGAAGTGAGAGGAGGCAAAAACAAAACAAGCTCCTTTTGCCTTTTCTTTGATTTTGCACAAGAGAAGCCACCAAAATGGCACACTATGTTTATCTAAGCAGATCAAACCACAGCATGATCGTCTGGTTTCTTGTGGGATCAGAACATAGATTCTCATATTTTTTAAACATGCTTTTTACCTGTCCTCCTAAATAGTCAATATCCAATCATAACTCATTTTTGCATTCACAAACTCAAGTGTTTCATGATTCTGGTGGTAATTTTGCTGCCATTCTATGTAAAAATCACAAAACTTGGGCCTTCCCAATTCCCACTACGTCGTCTTCAGACACCAATGCAAGTTTAATATTGCAATATTTATTGGAGAAGGGAGAATTTTATGCAAGTACAATGCAGTCAAGGAGATCAGTATTTATTGAACAGATCTTTTCCTGGCAATATGTGACAACTGACACATTTGCCTTGTGTGTCCCATTTATAGGGATGTCCACAAGCTCTTTCTTGCAATTATGATGTGCCCAAAGCTCCAAAAAGACAGTTTTAAAAAATGGATTCCATGTGACAGAGTTGGAGTTAGCTATAGATCTCAAGGGTTACATCTAATCATCAGTCCCAGTTCAAATAGAAAGGTTGGATAGATGGCACTTGAAGGCTATGTCACTACCACTGATTCAATGGGATAGACAACTGGATTTAGTCCCAGTTCTGCAAACTGAAGATTACTGGATTACACATCAAATGTTCTAAATATCAGAATTTAAATACAATTTTAGATTAATACTACACATGAAAAATATTGAAAAATGATATTGTAACTAGAATACAAAAATATTTAAAGAGCTATAAGCCACATAAAACAATTCACTAAAATGGTATAAAACAATTTGTCTGAAATATAATTTATTTCTGATCTGAACAACTTGTTTATAAAATGAAACTATTTTCACAGCTGCTTCTTCTTCTTTTTCTCCGGTTCAGTGTTACTGCTCAGTTGCATGGACTGTCTTGGAACACTACTGTCTACAATCTGGCAGAGAAAAAAAATGTTACATGCAACCTGTTAAAAAGTGAGCTTGTAAAGGTGCTGTTCTTTTTTTGTTGTTATGATCATTTTGTCAACCAACTTTAACATATACAACTTCAAAATCACAAAAAGGAGTCTTCTGAGAAGCCACAAGGGTGTGTGTGTGCTATGACATCCTTTAAATTCTTGAAAGCTTAAAATGGGATCACTTATGCTTCTTGATCATGAATACCCAGATCCAGTTCCAAGTGTTCCCTTGCACACTGAAACAAGGATGGGCGACTCTCCAGAAATGGTGGGACTGACCGCTGCTCCCAGCAGACTTCCTATGCTAGCCAGGGAGGATGGCAGCTGCATTCCTATGACATCTGAAGAATTCTAAACTCCTCACTCAGGCTTTAAGCCTTCTGTGTGCACTCAAAAGCAGGGCTGCCTCAATACACAAAACACTGAGTTGCTGTCCAGCATTGCCCCACCTTCAGTGTCATCTCCACTGCATAACTCCTTCCCCATCCCCATTATCTACCCTATCACTGCAAACTTTAGAGAAGGTCTCTTTACAGACATTTGTACTGAATATCCAGAGGTCTTGCAGCCACAGGTAATGTGCACCACATCAGGTTTTCAAGTACTTAAGGTTGTACAAAACTTGGGTTACAGGCAGTTTTCCCATACACGATTAAATTCTTCCCATACTGACAGATAGTAAGACTGCATCTTTTTTTCAGAACTTATCAATTCACAAAACATCAGTATTTACAGAATTATATTAAAATAATTCACCTCTGAACTTTCATAAGGCTCCTCCACAAAAATTAAAACTACTTAAGACTCCATTCTGTCTCCTGTAAACATCAACTGTTCTTCATCTTAGAAAAAGTATGCACATCACATTTAGAAAATAATGTTCAAGGACCAACAATCACATTCTAAATGCTGCTTTAAGAACTACTTTAAAGCAACATATTACAGTAGGAAGCCCTTATCCACTGGGAAATGGTTCCAAGCCCTACCACGGATACTGAAAGCCATGGATATTGGTACATATAGCATGGTAAAAGGGAAAAAATGGTTTCACATGCATTACAACTGGCCACTAGAAGGTGCCAGAGACCATGTTATGTATTCTTTTTTCTTTTTAATATTTTTAGACTGTGGATACGTGAAATGGCAGATACTGATCCTACAGATACTGGGGTTCTGCTGTATTTACCGTATTTTTCGCTCCATAAGACGCACCTCTCCATAAGACGCACCAAATTTTTAGGTGAAGAAAACAGGAAAAAATAATCTGGGAATTTCGCTCCATAAGACGCATACACTTTTCCTCCAATGTTTTTTTGGAAAAAAAGTGCGTCTTATGGTGCGAAAAATACGGTATATATTGCATTTCTCCCCCATAGGAGACCTAAGGTGGCTCACAACTAAAATGATAAAACAAACAACAGTTTTAAAATAACATAAATATCATACTAAACAGTTAACATATATTGTTAAAAACCAAGATTATAAATCATTTTGAAACATTTAAAAATCTGTAAGTTAATGAACAAGCATTCCTGTTTGAATCATACTACCATATTACTTTGAAACAACTGTCAGCTACCTACCTTTGGCTCTACTAGCGCCATACGGATTTTCTGGTGTTGGATATTGGAAGCATCTAACATAATGTTCACAGTAACTTTGTCAAATACATGGAAGGTTGTGCCTTGAACAGTAAGTGAGGGAATCTACAAAAGGAACATTTTTCCTTAATTTAAGTAGCACAGGTTAATTCTCACATGTCTGTTTTCAAAATTTATGGTAGATTTCAGTAAAAATACACAAAAATATCTATCAATCTTAGTTCTGACATACAGGAAAAAGTACGCCAAACACTGAAGAAAACACAATGGCTGCAAGTAAGTAACTTTGGTTAAACACAAATGTGGGCTTCCATCAAAAGATACAAATATATATCTACTGCATCTCCACCAAAGTAAACTTACAGGTTATTCAGACAGACAGAACCTGTAAAAGCTGCTTAAATGAGCATACACATGCACATCCACATGTGTACACGCACACACGCACACGCACACACACAAACACCTCAAATCTGTTTCTGTCAAGCTCATGCTAATATTACAAAATATTCGAAATTTTGAGAATCTGAAAGGCAAAATGGTAAGAGAATTCTTTCAAAAGCATGACTAAAGGAGTTGCTTTCACCATTTCATTTCACTTTCACACTGGCGCAAGGTGAAATACACATACATATAACAAAATTAAAACAACAAAGGTTGTTGAGTTAAATTTTGTAAAGATAGCCCTAGAATTAATATGATTTCCAAACAATAAATATGTAATCCAAAAATAAACACATTTTTACCTCATCATTGTATACCAGTGCTGGTTTGGGCTTATCTTTTTCTTCAAAAAACACAGTTCCCTCCAACCCGTACTTGGGAATTAGTACCACAATTGCATTCTTCCTTACAAAGAGAATATATGCCTCTTCATTCACCACACCTTTATTTTTGAAAAACAACTAGGAAACAAAAGTAAATTAATATTAAATACCGAAACTATAAAAAAGTATATTCACTGAATTCCTAGGAGAAACATTTCCTTATTCACATTGTCACCAATAAATTATGAGACTTCTCCCTAAAACAGTAAATATATTGTAAGATCGAAGAATCAAACCATTTTATCTATTTTTACTAACCTACTCTGTTTCAAAAAATTTGGATGGCTTAATCAAATCCTTATCATTTTACACTGAATCATAATAAAATTCTCAAATGGCATTTTCGTTGGTGTCATTTATATTGAGAGGGGTGAGGCTGCAAGAGTGAGAGAGTGCATCTATCATCTTTTCTTTTTTGGGCTGGTGAGAGAATAGCACTAATGGTATGGAAAAATCTACAGTGCAATCAAATCAAAGCTATGAACATACTAGTTCCAATTATACAAAATTTCAGTTAATGTGCTCTACTGTTGGAATCAAGAGATGAATACTTAAATTGTCCTGGATGACAGATTTCTTGGTTTGTCAAACATTTAGATTCAATGAGTAAGCAAATACATACAAGCCACCCTATACTCCTTCAGAACAAGACAGTAAAATGCTTCAAGGAGCTGATCTGGGAGACTCTGAGGGCTGCCAAATGTTGAAGATAAGCAGGTGTGATCCAGATCAACATTTGAATGACAAACCAGTAAGAGCCCTGGCTTAGCTGTTGTAAGCTTTCCAAAAAAAAGAATATACATGTTTCATCTTTTTTCAAACCCTTCATTTATAACCTGCTCTTTTGGCAAATGAAACACTGCTAGGCAATTGACAATATAAAACCACTTAAAACCTGCACATTTCAATATTAAAATGCTATATATGTCATAAAAATTGATCTGTCACTTTTCCAACAGTCTTCAATTCTCAAATACTTGGTACCACAAAAAAGAGACAGTGATTCACCTGAGTGTGGAAGGCAACAGAAGCTCTCTGAGCATACTGAGCCATTTTATGCCTGTAGTTGAGATTCTTACACAATTCTGCCAATTTATGTTTATCTGTGAGATCAGGATAAGTACCATCTGCTCCAATAGCCACGGCCAGTAATCGATGCACTATAATATCAGCATATCTGGAAAGAAAAAGAACAAGAAACAAACCCTACTCCAATGGTTCCAGGTACCCTAAACTCATATTACATGTTCAGATAGATTTACGAAAGCTGATGCCAGCATGCCACTCTTTTTATCTAGCTTGCCAAAGACACCTTTCTTCTGATAGCCATTCCTTTTTCCTTCATGTCCCAGTGCCTAAAGTCTCTAATGATGCATGTTGCAGTGAAACAATATGACAACACTGCAAAACTTTTCTTCCAGATGTATATCTGGTGGCATTTCCATTCAGAATCCAATGGCTTTGCAGAACAACTGTCCTGATCTCTGCACAGTATTTTCTGAGGCTTCATCCTAGTGATAACAGTATTTGTTTTCAGCTCTTTGCTTGCGCATACCCATTTTTATCTTAATGCTTACCACAAGTATGGTGGGAAATAGCTTAGATGAGTGGCGGCGAACCTTTTGGGGCTTGCGTGCCCAAACTGGGGGGGGGGAATGGGGCAGCAGAACCGGAAGTGGCGCAGAAGTGTGAATCCCAGGCACAGAGGTGCCTTGAGACCCCACTCTGGATCCTGACTCACTGCTTGTCCGGCCACCAGCACCACGGTTGCAGCTGCCTGCTCAGGGTTGGCTGCGGAGGAGGGGGAGAGTAGCGATCCGGCGACTTATGTGTGCCGGCAGAAAGGGCTCCGTGTGCCAGCTGTGGCACGCATGCCATAGGTTCGCCATCGCTGGCTTAGATGCATAACCCCAAACCCACCATACTTCAAGCCCTGCCCAGCTTCAGGCTAGAATACCTAAATAGGGTTTAAATTATCCAAAATCATCCAAGATAGACCCAAAGTACACGTAAAACATATCAGGTAAACAAACGGTACGCAAATCTGTGACATCTACACATCTGATAGAAGTTCAGAACCGGAGACTGCCTAAAGAGTCATCAGTCCTAGTGGAATCTGGTGGAACATGGCAGTAGTCACACTACCTTTCTTCCCACTTTGAAAATACCATTAGCAGTACCTTCTGATTGGTGATGTAAAGTGTGTATAAATAGGTGAGGCTAAACCATAGTGATGAAAATCATTGTCCATTCCAGAACAAAAATAAACAGCCTGCATCATGCAACGAGTAGCCAAGATGCGCAACAGTGTGTTTAAGTATGGAAAAGAAGGAGATTCTGCACAATCTAGTGAATCAGCCAGAGCTTTGGCCGAGTCAGTCTTGATTTCCAAACCCTGTTGAGGAGAAACAAGATGCCACATTCAATACTGAAAACAATTTTCTGTAGTTTAAACATTACTGAACAGACTGCTGACAAATTTCAGGAATGGCTGTTGTAGGTTTTTCAGCATCTTTGGCCATGTTCTGAAGGTTTTTCTTCCTAATGTTTCATCAGTCTCTGTGACCGGCATCTTCAGAGGGCAGAAGTTAGAACTCTGTCTGTGTTCTACACCAAACATCCTGAAAAACCTACAACAACCGTTGGATCCTGGCCATGAAAGAATTTGAGAAAATTCAGAAATCTTAAGTTGCAAAATTTTTAATTGAAATAATATCAACTGAGGGTCCTGATGGCAACTTTAGAGTACTGTATTTTTAATTATATTTTAATTGTTTTATTGTATTTAAATTGTTGTAAGCTACCCGGAGACCTTTGGGTAGTGTGGGTGGCATATAAAATAAAACCTTCAACTCCTGAGGATGACTAGCATTTAATGGTGACACAATCAAGCTCACATTTTTAAAAAATGCATTTTAGAACTCCTCACAGATCTGTATCCTCTAACATGTACTCCAAGCAAAAGTGGAACACTTAAGTGACAGCCATATCATATAATATTATTGTTCACAAGCAAAGTACTAAAGAACCTACGTAGATGGATCAGAAGAGGAGGGCCAGGATTTAGGGAAGCTCTCTCTCTCCACACACACACAAATGTTTCCATATCCATCACATTATCGTACTATAATCAGGGTCCTTCCAGAGGAGAAACGTAGGGCACAGAATGGGAGTGTTCAGCTGTGTGACATATGCATGTGGATTTCCACATGCAATATTCTAGATCTCAGTGAATTTCAAATCAATATTAATCCTTTATCTTTTTTGGTCCTAAGAACTTGCCTTAGACTTCGCTGCCTTCACAAGGATGTCATAATTTGATGGAGGTGGAGCAGGATGCTTTCTCAGCAAGGCATGCTCTGAAAATTCGTTGTAAATCTTTTGTGCCACTGAAATATTAGCAAGCAACATGAACTCTTCAACCATGGAATTGGTTTCTCTGTCAATAAGAATATAATACTTAATAAGAAAGAGAAAGGATAGTTTCTACTGCCATATAGAGATGAAGAATTCAAAACAGGCAATCTTCGTCAATAATATTAATACACTTTTACCTTGGAAATACAATTGTGATATTCCTCCTTATCCTGGAGATTTAGCACCCCTTCTTTTATGCACTCTGAAGTTCAGAGACTAGGTCTAGCTTGTAAGACTTGCTAGAAGCAAGGCTCCCAATGTCCATGATATATCAATATCCTCAAATATTGCTTGCTTCTGCTGCTACTTCCTGTTAACTCTTCCCGTCTGCACACACATGCATATATGTTCCAGACCAGGAGTCTCCAAACTATGGCTCAAACGCCACATCCAACTTGCCTTGCCATTTTATCTGGCCCGTTTCCTTCAGCCTGTGCACACACAGGAGGGCATGCATTCCATATGTTGAAAATATCCAGTGTGGCTCTCACTGTCAAAAGTTTGGAGACCCCTGCTCTAGATTCTAGAAAGTCTAGTCCACCGGCTCACTGTGCAGGGTATTATTTGTTCTGCTCAAACTGGCCAAAATCCTACTGTTCATCTAAGAGCACAGAACAGCAGTCATGCAAAGTGCCATGGCTAATCAATGAAGTGCTGAAAGTGATTGAAAGCACAACCAAATATGCAAGCACTACACTGTGAGTTAGTAGAGGCAACTTCTATGATTCTTTGCATGCAACTGAATGCCCATAAAAGAGAGAGAGACCACACACACACCCTACAGACAATTTCTCATTGAACCTATTCCTACTTGACTGTGGTAGGATCAATGCTATGAGCGATTAGCTCAGTTCTGATACTGTAAAAAAAATCCCTAAACTGAGTGCAAGGCTCAAAGGCACCCGAGATACTGGGTCCCAGCTGGTGGATATCAAGGTTTCAGTAAAATGCAAAACATATCCTGAAAGTCTGATTTCTAATCACATCATGTAAACATACAATCTAATCAGCTTTCAAACTCAGACCAACTTAAGTAAAAGTCAAGCATAGCCCACAAAAGCTGCTGCTAGTTCCTCAACATTCTCAGTAGCAAAACTCTCTTCTCAAACTTCTGGTTTGTAAGTACCAGCAGGTGGAACAATTCATCTTGAAGCCATGGTTAGAAGATACTTTTGGAAGCTGGCTAACAAGAGCTATGTCACAATTTCTTAGGGCTTGTGCTGTCAACGCCAATGTGCAGCACTGCAGATTTTAGAATACAGTTTATTGTGATTTTAGAATGCAGCTTTGATCATACACAGACTTAGGCATCTCTAATTTTGCTTTGGCTACTTCAAAGCTCTATGAGAAAATGGTGACTCCAACTATGAAAGGGACACCTGTAACAAAATAATTGATTGTGACAAAAAATATTTTTAAAAACATACTTGAGTTCTTTTGTCTGTAAATCGATAGGATCATGGGTTTCACTATCCATGTGGAAACGGACTTCAGGTGAAGAAAGAGTTAGAGCCCTAGAAAGTAAATCAAACACTTGAAGAAGATAATTTACACAGCTTATTTTTAAAAATACAGACCTTCAAATTAATATTAATCACATTAATTCGTATCATATTTCTCATACAAATGTATCTCATTTCAAAGAAATGTGTCTGTATCTCAGTAATTTCCAGATTTTCATTCCTCAGGGAATATTTTTCATATAGACTTTTTTTTTGCTAAGGACCCTTTAAGCATCTATTACAAAACCTGATCACTGTGAAATATGGTCTGCAAAGTACTACCTATAAAATAGTACTGGCATGGCCTACTGACACTACATGAATAAAATGAGTGAACAGATACTCTAAACTCCTGAGAAAACACAGAAGACAATAGTAGTGTTGGTACATTCAACAAGCTGTAATTCAAGAGAATATTAGTTCACTGCGAACAAATCAGTATAGCTGTGCATCTATAGTTGCAGAACTAAGCAAACTATGGCATTTCAGTTTGCAGTTTGTTTATTGTGATTCACAAACCTGACAAGAAATTAGCTTTATGGCTTCTGTTTCCCCTGAAAGGCCAAAAATTTAATCTTGGATTTACTCTGTAGCTAATTATCTGGCTTCTGAGATATAAAACAAGTCAAAGAACCAGCTTCCTGCTAGCTATGCACATCAGAATACGCAAGTCTATGGCTGGTTCACTCACTCCCACTGCAAGTGAGATGGAAACACCAGCATGTCATCTGTCCTTGTTAAACTGGGGTTTTGTGCAGGCCTGGCTTCTTCTGATGTTCAATGTGACCAGTTCAAAATTACTATGCTAAGGTAGATTTGGGGGCTAAGTCCAACTGTTAGTCCAAAATAAGGAAGACCCACTTTGACGATTGGATTTACATACATGTTGACTTAACAAGTCCCATTCATTCAATGGGTCTAACACTTGAATTTGGCCCTTTGTTTTTATAGGTGACAATAGGAAGATTGGCAAATGACAAAGAGCTGTACTGGGATGTTGTGAATCTAAGTGTCTGAAAAATGATTACATGCTGAATGAACAGTTACCCTTTATCAATCCTATGCTTTTTAAGAATTTTGGCTAGTTTATTTAGTCCTCTTAGACTAGTTGTAATGTCATCGTTCATGCTGGCAGAATCTATTTTCATCTGTGCTTCAGCATATGTAAGGGAAGCCTTCAAAGAAAGAAAGAAAAAAAACAAGCAATAAGGGGATAATTCTTAAAAGCAACCAATTTGAAAGTGATAGATTTCAAAAATTCATTTTTGTTAAGACTTATGGGTACCAAACCGGCTGTATTCTGGCACAAACAACCTGTTCCGATTTACAGAACTGCTTGTTGGGGATAAGGTGCTCCTATTTTAACAGTACTCTGTTCTTTGCATTATTGTTTATTTTTTTTCCACTGAATTTTGACTCTTCTCTGTGTCAACAAAGATTCTTTGCATAGATGCTCAGGATGTGCATTTCAACACACAAGTAAATAAAACGACTCATTAATTTTAGGGCTCCTAATAGAAAAGCAATAAATCATACTTCTCTAGCTCCTTTGCTTCAGGAACAGAACTACCGTGAATTAAATGGTTTGCTGAAGATGAATTCTAAATTTGTTTAAACTATGTAAACTCTTTTTTAGAGTGCCTGTATCTTGCAGGTAACTATCTGACTGCAGATTTTTAAGTAGTGTTCTGATATTCCCTGTGCCTGTAGGGGGCAAGGGCAGGAAAACCCGGCCTCAGTCACCAGCTTGTTACCTCTAAGAGTAAAGATATAACAGCTGCAAGTTAGTATAAGAATCACTGCCATAGAAAATCAGCTGTTTAGGAGGTATGCAGAGAAAATGTGAAATTTATTTCTTCAAGACTCCTTATCCTCTACATATTCATAATTGTTAAATATTTGCCTAAACTATTCAGATACTCTGGAGCAGACAAAGTGTTGAATCAAGGGGAGGGACCTGGAATTGGCTCATTTTTAATGTCAAAGTTATGCATAAATCTCATTGCAGACAGCCATTTTCATGGTTTGCAAGATCTGAAAATATCATTCAACTATTTTTCCTAAACAAGCAAATACATATGAGACCTACCTTGGAGTTAATTACACTTTTTGTAAATCTAGTTCTCAAGATTTCTGCATTGTGATTCATTTCCCATATACATGAAAATGCAAGCCTAGAAAAGGAAAACGAATTTACCAATGAAACAGGACAGTCCACCTGACACTTGTTTGGATTGCCCTGCATTTGTTCATGAATAGAAGCTGCTTCCATTCACATATATCTATCACTTCCCAAGCAATTTCATTTGACCCCGCCTTTCTTCTGCAACCCTCCGTGCAAAACATCCCGGTCCAAATATCTTCTAATTCTGAAAAAAGCGAGTGCCAGTTGTTACATAACAGCACTGATGTTACCTGTCTGTCATGGGTTTGGAGGGAAAGTTCCATCCTATGGGGAGTGGAAGGCGGGACATCAGGAGGAGGGGCTGTACTGTATAAATATGTGATGCCTGTGTGGTGAAGAGTAGATGCTGAGACAGACTGTGAGACACTGGGTTGGGACGAAGCAGCAGCTGGGGAAGAAGAAGCTGTTGTGGGAGTCTGGGTGTCTGACAGGGTACTACTGTGTGTCAGAGTACCAACCTGATAAGTTCAGGTGTCTGTGGGTTAGCCAGAACTGATGGGTTCAGGGTCTGTGCTTTAAGTTAAAGGTTCTAGGTGAACCAAACTGTATGCTTGTGTGTGTGAGAATAAGCCACGTTACTTTATTTTATTCACCTGATTGTTTTATTTACCCTGTTTGTATTTAAAATAAACCTTATTCTTTTGTTGTTTAAAAATCCATCCCTGGTCTGTGTGACTTATTATAGGGAATGGTTGGTGGCAGCTTAGTAACTGTGTGATAGATCCCAGTAGGTCTGGGTTTGTCACATTGATTGGTGTCCAGCGTGTGGGATACGACTGGTCCAGTTGTCCAGCGGTCCAGCAAAGCCTTGGCAAGTGTGCCCAGAGCAAGGGGGGTCTAGTCAGGGACAGTCTGAGGCGCGTAGGTAATCTTCTAGGTGTACCTCACGGGGAGGTGCACTAGTAGAAGAACGTGCCAACTGGGGAGACTTAGATTAAGGTGCTCTGAGGCAGCCTAGTTTTGGCGGGAAAAAGCTGAGGAAAAACTGCGTAGCAACAGCGAGCTAGCTCGCCAGCTGAGAGGCCCAGCAGAGGGGGGTAGGCTCTGACTCGATACTGTTGCAAGGTTAGTGCTGAAGAACAGCAGCAATCTACTGGGATATGTCACAGGCACCAATTTATTTTGTACCCTTATTGAGAAAAGTGGATGAAGTTTTCAGGGAGTGTGGACTGAAGAGAGCACTATCCTTGAGAAATAACCGACAGAGAAGTTTAGAAGGTGCTAATAGAGGTTGGGAGTTCGATTCCCCGTTGTGCCTCCTTGATAGGGACTGGACTTGATGATCCAACTGTGTAGTTCTGAGGTAATTATTATTAATAATAATACATCTAAATTGTGATTGTATACAAAATTAATGGACAATACATCTTGACTGTATTGGAACCAGTTTTAAGGCATTCTTGAGCTTCACATGAATAGGTGCAAGATTTTCTGTGAGAGAACAGCATCATTGCTCTATGCAATAGAGACCGGTTGTGGGCTTTGGAGATTCGGGGCGCTGATAAGAAAGAAAAAGGAAAGACATTTCTAAGCTCTGTGCTTACGGGATGCCTGCCTGATACCAACACTGTCTTTTTTTTGACTGCCAGAAAAATGATTACCTCTCCCCTCCCCACAAGCAGACATTTGGTCATGAGTTACCCCCAACTGTTGTGGCTTGTTCTTGCGGGTGGGTGTGTTGTGAGCAGGAAGCAGAGAACATCTGGTGTCATATCTTTGTGTTGTAGATGAATTATCTTGGTGTTCCTTTGCTCTTAGCTCAAATTTTCATTGTCTGAATTTACCGCTCATTGTTGAATCAGTTACCCGACAGGCATTGAACCCAGAGAAATACAGAGAAGAGGTAACAGCTAACGCAGAAAGACCTAAAGCATCTACTATACATCGAATGCGCATCCACTGTTTGGCTACCTTCCCACCCATCTCAACTAAAATGGGGGGGGGGGGGGCC